GGTCGGTTACAACCGCTTATCGGTCGGTTACAACCGCTTATCGGTCGGTTACAACCGCTTATCGGTCGGTTACAACCGCTTATCGGTTAATCGTAATCGGTGCATCCCTAATCGAAGCCAAAACTCCGATCCGTTTATATGGCCAGGAAGAGAAAAGTCTTCGCTATGAATTAGCTATAAAGAATTATTTTAATCCGATCAAAATTTTAAAAAAAATTACTGGAATTATGACAGAAACTAACGACTATGTAAACAAAATTTTGTTCAAACTCATTCAGTTGAAGTTGAAATATAACTGTTTCCATTTTCGAAATGCAACGGTACAATGGCAGCACAATTCATACAAATATTAGATATCTTCGCTTAAGTAAACATACTAAGATAAAGATGTTGACTTTCAACGTTGGCAGTAGTGGCGTAACTAGGATTTTTTTACCATTTGGCCAAAAACTGCCTTAGTTAAAAAAAACGTTTGGTTCATACTGGGATAATTCGAGAAGAGGCTGGGCCAGAAAAGCCATTTTTTAAATTTTCAACTAGAGAAACCACAAAATTCAAAATTATATTGCCCAGTCAAAAAAAAATATCAAGAGGAGGAGTATCATGGAGTGCTCCAACTGAAAAGGAGTACTCCAAAAGCTACAACGGAGTACCCACAAAAAATGAGTACTTCTGAGTACTGCGTTTTTTGAAGTGCTCCACATTACCTCAGCTGCACTTTATAAAAACGAATGTTCCGAAGCACTTCAAAAAAGAAGTACTCATGCGTACGCCTAATAAGTGATAATTCTATAAGTCTTTTAACCAAAAATAACTAAACGTCGACTTTCTAAAGAAAAAAATATTTTAAAAATTGTTTTTCTCTTTGTACTTTAGCACTATTGATTGATCAGACAAATGTTGATCAACAAATTTCAATTTCAAATGTAAATGTTGATTCTAATCGTCAAGTCTATGAACAATGTCAATCAAACTTAAATTCAAATGAATTAATTTGGTTACAATTTTATGTTGAACAATTAGATCAAATTAAGAAAATAACAAAATATTTAACAAAAATTTATCGTCATTTACGTGAAGATTCTATTCTAATTGGTGTATTACCATCATCTACTGTGGGTAGATGTTTTGTTCGAATGAAAGATGATGAAAAATTTAGACCAATTATCATTGATGGTATCGAGTATCCACATGATTTGAAATTAAAAAAATAATGTCGATACTTGTATTGTAATGTGTAAGTGTTTACACTCAATTATTTTGGTTTTGAGAAATAGACAAATTAACATTGAACAGCACAGTAAAACTATGTTGACAAATGCATTGTTTTCATTGAATATTTCTGAAATATCAAAATAAATTGGTCAGAAATAGATAATTGTTCTAAAACGTATTGAAAATGATGAAATCTATTCTCGTGTTAATGCTACATACTGTTGAAAATATGAGCAGCAGCTATATATATTTGATAATAGTTTGTGCACTCCTCTCCACCGGATTATTAAACAAATAGTTTAAACGAAATAGGTTGTTGATGAAAACTTGAAGACCGATAAATCAAATGAAATATGTGTAGGATTAGGATATTCAATTAGACTATCATTATCGAAAGGCGAGAAAATAAGGTAAATGAAGACGAGTTTTTGATTTGGTCCTAATCTTGACTTTTGTTCACAATTTGACTACGTCATTCTACTACTGGAGCGATACCCGTTAAGTTTTTGTCACTGTAAGCTTCGAATGGACATTCAGTCAAAGCTAGAGATGTGTACAGGCAAGATTTTTCTGACCGTCCGTGTGCGTGAACAAAAAAGTCTGTAGTGTGACAAAAATCATATTTTAACCACAGATTGTGGGTGTGGCAGAGAAAATGAGACTTTTTTAGTTTTACTACAACTCGGTCAGTTTTGATCCGATCGATCGAAACTTCTTTTAAAAGATGCGCTGCGAAATACTCTACAAAATCATACCTAAACTATAATTTCAGAACTTCAATCAAGAAAACTAAGCCAATTAGATGAAAGTCGAAAAAAATGTAAACTTTCTAAACTCAAAAATTATTTCTTGTGTTAACGTTTTGAAAGTAAGACAAACTGAATTAGCCATTTTACAGCCCTTACTTCACTCTATCTTTTAACTACGCTTCAGATTTTTTCACATCAAAGGCTACAGCGAAATAATAATTTTTCTATCGGTTGTTATGCATTTTTTCATTAATTTTTAAATTTTGTACTGGAAACTGAAGACTCTTGAACCCAAACGGCATATCAGTAGGAATCATGAGTATTCGTGGTATGAAGACATCCTCACCCTTTGCGCAGCTTGTTAGG